CCAAGCCATTCATGAGGGATCTACTCCCACGACCCAAACACCTCCCACTAGGCCTCACCTTCAACATTGGAGATCAACTCTCAACCCGAGATTTGGAGAATATGAATAATAATTTACGCAAAACAAATATAGTGATTAATATACGCAGACCCGGTGCATAAGTGCTTAACAGTTGCTAGCATAATTCAAGAGATTGAGAAAGCCTCCACATTCTTTGTGCTATTTAGTTCTTCACATTCCTTCCATGGTAACCACAGCAAACAGAATTTATTATGGGATGAGAAAAGATCCAGGGGACCTCTGATTGGCAGGCCTCAGTTTATATCCACAGTGAAGGTCCCTGGAATCCATGAAGCAACGTGAAAATCATGGATATCCACTTGTTCAGTCCATGTTTATTAAAAACCCTCCATGTACCAGTGATAAACTATCTCACTTTGTATCAGTGAGCAAAACAGACAAAATGTCTATTTCATGGAGCTTAAACTTTAGGGTAGTGAGATCACACATACATATGCACATACATTTATGTGTAGTGTGTCCTGGGGTGTTAAGAGCTATGAAGCAAAGTAAAGCAAGTGGAGGGGATAGGGACCCATAGATCAGGCACTGATTTGAGAGGTGGCCATTTATGATAGATTGGTCAGGGAAGGCCTTACGTTTTGGATGATTTGTGGGCAAATGGTTGACAAGAAGCAGGCAGCTCAGTGAAGTGAGACAATAGCTCATGAAATGGATAGGGGAAGAGCTTTCTAGGCAAGAGGACATATAAAGCCAGTAGGTTTACATTTACCCAAGGGAGGTCATCTAAGCACACTAAGGATAATTAGAGCCTGCGACAGACACATTTCTGCTACCTAACTTGGTGTACCACTAGTTCTGTAGAGAAGAGAAAAATGTTTAATGACTGGAACAAAAGGCACTTGCTTTTGTCTACTACCAACGTATAAACAGTGATATATATTAATACTTCTGATAATAACTTAGTCTTGAACCCAGTGCCATCAATTCTGAGGTTCTTTAGCCATGAACTTTTTTATTTTTATAGAGTACATGCCACAGCATAATGCCTTGGCAACGATGCCTCCTTTCCCTACAAGCCGAGGTTTTATCCTCCAGCGTTAGAGTTCCTTGGTTCACTCAGTTGATCACTACCAATTTTACACCCTCTGAGAAACAAATATTCCAACTGTCCTGGAGTATTAAAGATACTTGTGGTGGGGCGGGGGAGGACACTAGATATAGCATAGTCAGTTGCTACAACAAAATACCATGGATCAGTGGCTTAAAAAGCAAAAAGTTATTTATTGCAGTTCTGGAGGCTGAGAAGTCCAAGATTAAGGTTCTGGTAGATTTGGTTCCTGGTGAAGACTCTCTTATGGATGTCTGCCTTCTTGCTGTATCCTCATGTGGCAGACACAGAGAAAGCTCTGGTCCTCTCCTCTTCTTATGAGGGCATAAAACCCATCATGGGGATCCTTAAGACCTCATCTAAACCTAATTACCTCCCAAAGGTCCCACTTTCATAATATTGGGGATCAGAGCTTCAACATATGAATTTGGGGGTTGGGGACACAAACATTCAGCCCATAGCAAGACACAATATTTCCTCAGTCAGAAATTGGCATATTTAACAAGAAGTTTTAGGTGCATGTTACATTAATAGATAGATAACAGAGAAATAGAAATAGAGACTAAAAAAGGGAATAAAGTAGTTAAGTATAAAACAGACTCCATTACTTGTATTTCAGCATGTAGTAGGCAATCCATAAACGTTTGCTTGCTACTGATTGAAATAATGTTGTCATACATATAGCACTATACTGATCACGTACATAAATACTTAGTAGTGTTTTTATTTTGTGTTTCTATCTTGTGGATACTTAAGAAATTATTATTATGACCGACTAAAAAAATGAAGAGAAGCTGAGTATAGGCTTATTAGTGTATTGTGTCAAACATTGTCACTCAGATTATGTGCTCATTTTGTTTTACTCTTGTGTAAAATATTTTGTGCATTGTTAATTAACATGTTATGTCCTGTCACTTTCTTTCAGGGCTTTTTTATCCTGAATTGTCCAGACTTAACATCTTTGGCTTTCCAACTGATATATCTTAATTTATCATTTAATGATCTTTGTTACTTTCCCACAGAAGTGAGTGCCTTTTCATTATTATATATTG